TAGATATGCAGATGATACCACTCTAATGGCAGAAAGTGAAGAGGAACTAAAGAGCCTCTTGATGCAAGTGAAAGAGAAAAGCTCAAAATGCCTGAAACTCAGCATTAAGAAAACTAAGATCATGGCATCTGGTCCTCTCACTTCTTGGCAAATAGATGGGGAAGAAATGGAGGTAGTGACAGATTTTATTTTCCTGGGCTCCAAGACCACCGCAGATGATGACTGCAGCCAAGAAATAAAGATGCTTGCTCCTTGGGAGGGAAGCTATGGCAAATCAAGACAGCATACTAAAAAGCAGAGACATCACCCTGCTGACAAAAGTGCATATAGTCAAGGCTATGGTTTTCCCAGTTGCAATGTATGGCTGTGAAAGCTGGACCATGAGGAAGGCTGAGCACAAAAGGATTGAGGCCTTTGAATTGTGGTGCTGGTGGAGACTCCTGTGAGTCCCTTGGACCGCAAGGTGATCAAACCGGTCAGTCCTAGAGGAGATCAGCCCTGACTGCTCTTTAGGAGGCCAGATACAGAAGATGAAACTCAAATACTTTGGCCACCTAATGAGAAGGAAGGACTCCCTGGAGAAGAGCCTAATGCTGGGAACAATTGACGGCAAAAGAAGGGGACAGCAGAGGATGAGGTGGCTAGATGGAGTCACTGAAGCAGTGGGTATGAGCTTGGGTGGACTCCGGGGGATGGTGGAGGACAGGAAGGCCTGGAAGAATGTTGTCCATGGGGTCACGATGGGTTGGATGCGACTTCGCAACTAGCAACAACAATTTTATGGTCCTACCTGGGAGTGTTGTAAACCATCCAGGGAGAAGTAATCCCAACAATCACAATAGTGAGAATTGTTAATGTAAACATTTGCTTGTGCATGAATATGCTGTATATTCATAAGAGTGGTCTGGGATCACATTCACAAGTGAATGTCAAATATATGGTTACTTGCAACCTAACTTTAAAGGATCGCAAGCATTCAACAGAAGGTGAGACATAAAATGGGAAGGTATGGGGAGAGTGAAGGGGATCCCATATTGAAAGTAACTTTTAAAATGAGCACAAAACAGACAAAATGAACTATTTTTCTTTGCCATTGCCTTTAGCAGGGAAGGTGGGTATATGTGCTTAAATCTCCTTAGTTGGAATTAATGGGAATTAAACATGGCTAATTTTGCCAGACTGTATAGGGCATCTTCTTCTTCTGAAACAGTACAGGATGTGATGGAAAGAATAAAACCCTTCCCCTTCCTCTGCATCCCACCCCATCACTAAGGCTTGACATGCAGAACACTTTATTGCAGGCATTTATCTGATGCCAACAACTTAAGTGGTCATTTACAGGAATGGACTACTTTCCCCCCTCCCGCTTCTCATGCATTATCCTGACAATAGCAACGTCAAAGCGGCAATCCAACACACGCTTACTTGGGAACAAGTTGCACTGATCTCAGTGGGGCAGGCTTCTGTGGGAACATGCGCCAGAGCAGGCATGTGCCTTTTATCTCACTTGAACATCAGTGCCTTGAAATTACCAGGCCTCACGTCCAAGCAAACATGGCTAGGATCAGGTTGCATCATGGACTCCAGTTCCACAAGGCCTTAGAAAGGAATGCTACAGCGGCCAACACTGCAGGTTAAAAAATAAAAGTTTTAATTCCATACAGAACACCCCCTGGCCCCAGTTGCAAGACACAAACTATTTCATCTACTATATTCTTTCACTGAATCAGTGGAACTCCTCTGGAATAGATGCTTCATGAATGGGAGCTTTTAGCAGTCTATCTTAATTAGAGAGAGGGAGAGAAGATACAAATTACTATGCTTACCCTATCAAAATAAATAAATAAACCGGTCTAGTAATCACCCTCTGCCAATATTCTTCTTTGTTATGATTCCATGATGTCAGCTAGCATGGGGAACAATAAAAAGAGGATGCAGTGCGATCTCTGGAATGACTATTAATGTCTCCTTTGGCACCATCAAATTTTATTGTGTCATATCTATGTCTCTCTAACTTGAGGCTGCTATTCGTGTCCCCAGACAGACTTTGATCTTTCATGCAGTGGAGCTCAGTATTGTAGCCCAACCTTCTCCAACCTGATGTCTTGGACTAGAACTCCCATCATTCCCAGACAGCTTGTCCAATGGCCAAGAATGCTGGCAGTTGTGGTCCAGCACATCTGGAGGCGCCAGGGTGGGAGATAATTACAGACCCTGATTTAAGAAAGGTGTCATGGAAACTGGTCCAGAAGTTACTGTGTGAGCACAAGGCATGTGCAACCAGACTGGAGGAAGCAGAGTTCCTCCCCCATCCTCCTCTCAAAACCCCCCCGAAGATGCCACACCAAGGGTCAGGGGATTTTGTGGGATGGAGTAGGCTGTGGGGGTGGGTGGGAAGGGGGAAAAATTGGGTGGAGATG